TCTCTCTCTCTCTCTCTCTCTCTCTCTCTCTCTCTCTCTCTCTCTCTCTCTCTCTCTCTCACACACACACACACACACACACACACCACACACACGCGTGGACCCGTTGCGTATCGTCGATTAAGTCCTCCCACCATTTCATCAAACCACCACACGTCATCTGTACATCGCACCTAGATATCCAGCCAGTCATCACGCGCGCTCACTGCTGGACTTCTCGCGCTTTCGAACGACGTCTGGTAACCAGTACGCAATCCGTAGGAGCCAGCGAAGCTGGAAAGCTGGAGAACCGGGAGGGGCAGAAAAACGAGGTCGCCAGAGATAGAGCGATAGCAGACGGCTGACAGTCCAACCAGGAGGAGAGAAAGAAACGGAGAAAAGAGCACGACGAAGAGCCAGACATCAGGACGCGACACCGAACCGGAATCATAACTACATCAGCCAACATTGAGATGCACACAACATACTGTAGATGCCTAGACCAGTAATCGAAAGAAATTAGAGCGCTACGTACGCAATAAGGAAAGAAAAAAATCGGACGAAAAAAAAGACAGCGGACAGCAGACTCTGCCGCTAGGGTAGGACAAAGGGACACTCTCAGGCGGAGTGCTTCCGAGATGACATCACGGTAATAAATAGATCCAAAGGAGTGCTTCCGAGATGACATCACGGTAATAAATAGATCCAAAGAAAAGAAAAACAGAAGGAAAAAAAAACGTGTAAGAAAAATATGTTGAAAATTTAAAAATAGCAAAAAGGGAAAGAAGGAAATATAGATAGATAGGTAGATAGATAGATAGGTAGATAGATAGATGATAGATAGATAGACAGATAGATAGATAGATAGACAGATAGATAGATAGACAGATAGACAGATAGATAGATGGAGAAAGAGAGAAAGAGAAAGACTAGATAGACAGAGAGAGAGAGAGAAGACACAGAGAGAGAGGAAGAATGGATAGAGAGAGAGAGAGAGAAGACAGACATAGAGATAGATAGCTAGGTAGATAGAGAGAGAGAGAGAGAGAGAACTGGGCAGGGTGGATTTGACCCTCACCTGCTTCAGGAAGGTACGAGAAATGATATTTTTTGGTGCCGTAAGCGACAAGCATCGAGACAACCATGAGAGAGCAGCAGGTCAACAGGTCTTCGGCGGGGTACATTGGACTCGCCATGTTCTACGCTGATGACGTGTGGGTAGAGCGGAGTCCGTTGATTTCCTTCTTGTTCGTGTTTCCGGACGACACATGAAAGCCCGCAAACCCCTTGATGCACTTAGACGCCTTGAGCGGTTAGATGCGATGATGGGTTTGACGCGTTGATGGACTTCGACGCGTTGATGGACTGGAAGGGTAACCTTCTGATCAATCGACTCAATCGGGTATCAGAATGCACAAACCACAATCGAAACCGCCGCCACCTGCTGTCACTTAACGCTTCTATCCTCCACAATGAGTTGTGAACTTCAAGGCAACTAATGGCGCCAAGCCCACGCTTGGAGGTTAGGTTACTAATGAGCACGGAACCCAACTCCATTCCACGTTTCGCACCTGAAGAGCTCACGCTTGGGCTGACAACAGAAAACCTCACAACTGTATCCTCCCCAAAAAGAACACGCCCACACACGTCTCCATTCCACGTTTCACTATGCGGCGGCGACAATTGTTCGGAAGAAGATCCGGACAAGCGGGCCGGTAGTGCACTCGAACTGCAGTTCCAACTGCACTCAAGCTTCACTATTGCTGTCCTCCGTGAGCGATCAGGACTCGTTAGAGGAGAATGCACCCACTGCTGGCAGGAAACACGACTCCATTGCAAAATTACGAGACCACAAGTGTTTCCACTACAGGTGGGCGCAGATGCGACGACCACCGCGCAGGACCATGTCGCCGCTGGCCTAAGAACTTCAACATACGTCCCCTCGCGTCCATGTCCATCAATACATATTAGGAGTCATGGTGAAATCAGACCGACAGCTGTAGCTGTAGCTGTAGCCGTAGCTGCCGTGACTCCACGGCAAGTCGAAACCAGACCGATCGCGCGCGCGCGGAGTGAAACCAGTTTTTGAATCTTGTCTACTTCATCCTGCAATCGTGCGATTTCAGAGGTTCTCTGGGCGGGGGCAGGCAACCGACCTCGGGAACGAACACGAATGGCAGGAGATGAACGGTCCAGACGTGTAGTATGTTTTTTCTCCCCGAAAACAGGCGACCGTGGCGCCACTTGTCAATTTCGCGCGAACGGCCCCGGCCTCACCTCCGTGCCCGCTCTCTCCCTCTCTCTTACTCTCTCTTATGGCTGTCGCCCCAGCCACACGGCCACCCTGATTCAGTTCCCACGGGCAAAGAGGATTGGAATGTGGCTCACTCTGGACGCGTTCCAAACAGAGATGCAGCAAAGAGGATTGGATCAGTCACAATTTTTTGCACATCTCCAGATTCAGACGCTTTTTCCCATCCTCTTTGCCAGTCGGATTTGGTCCTAAGCGGAAGTCGTCCGGCCATGCTACCAGTGTACCGAATTCGCAGAATTCACGGCCAGGAATTTTCCTGGATTGTCAAACCACGAACCGAGGTCCAGCAACTTTTTTTTTTTTGGGGGGCGGGGAATGTCCAGCAACTGGAGCACCCTGGGGCGAGGTCCCACTAGCAGCGGGATAGGATAGAAACGAGTTTGTGGGGCAGTTGAGCGACCCCAATCCTGCCGTGCAGTAGTCGTGATCCCACGGTCAGTGTTTTACTTGTATTACCCGAAAAAATTAGGAGATCTTCGTTCCCCTCCTCCTACCCTAAACACTGGGCATGCCCGTGCAAAGAAAGCTTACCGCCAGAATCTTTTCTACCGGTTGGGGGTAAGGCCAACCCCAAAGGAGGGTGGGATCAACTTTAGCCCACTGGATAGAAGATTTTCAGTATTTTACTTGCTGTTGCGCAATTATCTCATTGGGTGGAGCACTCCTTCAATCACGGAGTATATGGAGGGTGTCAGGATCAGTGCGGACAGAAGTCAAGTTTATTCCAGCAAATGTGGCGGTTACTTTGTTCACTGC